TTCAAATCAAAAAATATTTAGAGGTCGCTCAAACCGCTCAAAGTTTACCATGTATTTTTATATGGGGAAAAAACCAATTTTCGCAAAAATGGTACAGAATTCTCGAAAATCAATATTTTTCGGTCGGAAAACTCTGGTTCTCTTCAAGAGACTTTCAGTAATAATACCCAATTGTTTATTTAACCATTTTTTAACACTAACGATTTTTTATTGGTCCGCCCATTGCATTTTTCGGAGTTTTTATAGGTTTTTGGCGGGTCTATAAATTATAGTTGCGATGAAAAAATGGTTAAATACACAATTGGGTATTATTATTGGGAATCACCTGCAGATAAACAGAGTTTTCCGATAGAAAAATATTGATTTTTAAGAATTATATACCGTTTCTACGAAAAGTTGTTTTTTCTCAAGAAAAAAATTAAAATTCTTACAAATTGACGCACAAGAAATGGAAAAGAAAGTTTTTTCTTTCAAAATTACTTATATAATAAATGTAGCCCCAAAACCCACCCCTTGTGTGCGCTACGTGACAAATTTGATATGTAAAAGTAAACAGACAGTGTTTAATTTTGCACACACTAGGAGAGGAAACTGGTTACCTCTCTTTATATGCGTAAATTTAAACGAAAATTTTTTAAAGGAAATTTTAAACATTTTATGTGTAAACTGTGAAAATGTGAACAATAAATGTTTAAAACTCAAAAAACATATTTGAAATTTGTTCTACGCCACACATAGATAAGTAAAAGTAAGCAAGCAGTGTTTAAATTTGCATTCATTAAGAGAGGAAACTGGTTACCTATCTTAATTTGCGCAAATTTAAACAAACATTTTTTAGAGTGTATAAAATACATGGAAAACTTTATGCGCTTTGAGCAACCTCTAAATATTTTCAAAAAAAAAAAAAAAACAGGGATATATTTTTTTTTGGTATAGAACAATTCTAAGGGGTGAGAGCATAAAAATCATAAAAATTCCGACTTTAATTTTTCACATGCATTTTTTTTTTTGGTTCACCCTAATGTACATACATATGTATGCATGTAATTTTTGTAATTGTTCTGTAACTTAAAGAACTGTTGAAAATTAAACTTTACAATGTATGTATTTATAAGAATGAAAGAATACAAGATTGCGTATTCCCAGCGGCGATGACATTTCTCAAGTCAAAGTAAATAAAGCTGAATAGGAGAATAAAAGCAACTAACTGTCAAAAGATAAAATTTTCGTAATATTCAATTTTTCTATAGAAAACGTCGTTTAATTGCGTTAAATTGTAAAAAAAAAAAAGTATTAATAAAGAAAATGTTAAAAAAAACTGCGAATTTTATGAAAGTATTAGTGAATTTCACTGCATTCAAGGTTTCTGAGGCGTGGTTTGGTTTTAGTTGAGAATTGTCAAAATCGGCAAAACCAAAGAAGCGACCGAGCGAGGGGCGACCGCTGTTTTCTATATTTTTTTGCGATGTTGCTTTGACCAGGGCTTCATCAGTCCGTAAAGAAACAAAAATGTTAAATAGGGCCTTTCTATATTAAAGTAACGATTGTACTTTGTACATACATACATACATACATACATACATACATACATACATATGCATGCTTCTTGTCCAAAGTGTGGCTTCAACCGGCCATTTAACTATGTAACTCCATTCATTCATGCATTCAGCCATGCTGGTAAATGGCCAGAAGCCTGTCGGAGAACCGGATGTGTTATTTACTTGATTTATGCGAAATGTTCTTCCGAAGGAGGATACTCTTTAATGTTTCAATGGTTTATTGTATCTATGTACATTGTGTTACCTTCCGAGCGCTGCCAGCTTCCACTTTATACAGTTAACGGGGAAAATTGTACATATATCCTCGCTCATAAAGTAAAAGTAATAAAAAGTCATGAACGGAGAATTGAAAAGCAAAAGTGGTGGATGTACTATACACCACTACGGTCGGATAGAGATACGACGTAAAAATGGCGGCGAAAAGAAAAACTACTATCACTCCAACGTTGCCATGGTTGGTATTGAGCTTTGGCTCTGCAACACACCCACTAGCTACATACATATGTACATAAGTGCATAGTTACGGTGTGACCATATTTACGAGAGTCGGATATGGCACAAAAAATAATTTTGCAAATTTTTTCCACAGCTTACAGATTTGAAAGCCTTCTTCAATTTTTCTTCTGGCAATTTTTTTTTTTTTTTTTTTTTTTTTGTTGACGGTTTTTTACTTTTTTTTAATCATATTAATTACTTTTGTTCGACCATTTTTTTGAAAGAGTAACAAATGAGCAGCACTTTATTATACTGAATTTTAATGAATTACAAAACTGCAAACCAAATTTTTTTCTAAAGATTCTAGTTAAAAAGTTTGAGATTTTGGTGAAACATTGCAGAATTAATTTTAATAGTTTTATGCAAAAAGTTAGAAATTTGGTATTACTTCGTTTGTTTTCGTTAGGAACAGAGCTCTAATTTGGTCACTGCTCGATTCGAATCACAGGCATTCAGATTAGAAAATTTTAACTGTTTATAGACAAAATTACGATCCTATAGCAACATCAGTTAAAACTCGTTCATAGGCATGCCATTTTAATCAGCTGTTAAGGCGTCGAAACACCGAATACGGGACAAATACAGGACATTAAAAGAAATACAGAACATTTGGCGTCCCGTATAAAATAAATAAATTACCAGGACAATGGGTCAAAAAAGAGGACTGTCCCATAAAATACAGGACGGATGGTCACCGCATACATAGTACATACATAAAATTTTAGGGGCTACTTACGAAAAAATCGGTGCAAGTTCGTAGGAAAATATGCATGCAAAAAAATATTCGTTTGTACATACATAAATATACACATAGTAGTAACCGCCAAAATAACGTAAGCGACATTTTTTTTTTTCTTTTTGTTGCTCTAGGAATATTTCTGCGTCAAAAAAAATAAACATTTTGAAAAAAACGTCGCTTACGTTATTTTAGCGGTTAGGTTAGGGCTCGATATCGTCATTTAAAATACAAAACCGCGTATCAACAAAATGCAAAACCGCACCTATGAGGTTGCATAAATTATTTTCTAGATAGTAAAAACACTAATTTTTCAAAATGGTTCTCTTTTTTATAAAGCAATCGTATTTCTGGCTAGTTTATTTCAGGACCAGTGGATAAGGATTGAGCCAAGAGCTTGAGTGAGCAAATCCAATTTTTGGCAAAAAATGTCAGTTACGCGGTTTTGCAGAACGACGATACGCGGTTTTGTACTTTAAACGACGATATGTAGATACTATGTAGTGATGTGCGGTTCCGAGTATATAAAGAACCGGTTATGTCGAGTCTGGTTCCAAGGAGAACCGGGAAATTGGAACGGTTCCGTCTCTCAAAAAAGTGTTAGCCTAAATAGGCCCTTATGGAAATGGCTTAGCTGAAGATTTTAAAAAGTTTTGACAAAAATTCAATTTCTCTTTATTTTTTTGTTATAAAGTAAAGTGAAGAAAATAAATAAATATATTACATTCATTCCTTAGTAGATATTTTGATGGTCCTCTGCAATAACGACACAGCTCAAAATTTCATATATTTCAGTAGAGCAAATTAAATATTTTGTGTTGCGTAATTTAGCAATAATATGTCTTTGAACGTAATTATTCCGGATTATTTTCAGTCATTCTCTGGGGAAAATTTGTACGTTTTCAAATTATGACTTTTTCTAATGATTTCGTAAGTGTTGGACTGCAAAAATGCGAAATAAGTAACAACTCGTAGGTAGTTGAACGCAAAAAAAAAAATCATTTGTATTGCTGAACAACGGCTCAGTACGAAAAGTGTCGTTATTTCACATAAGAGCATAACTACTAACCTATCGAGAGTTTTTGACATATGCCGATATTCACGATAAATATGAGAAACATGCCACTGTTCAGGAATAAGTGCTGGCTACTTCGGTTTTGTGACAAATGGCAAAACTGCGACTCTGCCGGATTGATAACAACTAAGCCTACATATGTTGATTTGTCAAAGAAAAATATGGTTATTTTTAAACCTAATCCGCTATATAACTCAAAAACAGGAAATTTTGAGTTGTGCCGTTATTGCAGAGGACCATCGATATTTTATAAAAATAAAATACATGAAAATTAAATTTAAGTAAGCGGTTTCCACGTTAAGGTATCATTTAAGAAAAAGTAATGTTTCCATTCTTTTGACGCATTGAAATCGCAGCTGACAGCGATTTGAAAGCATCGAAAGATGAGGAAGAAATTTAGCATAACATTTAATTCAAAGGAAAAAATGTTTAATTCAAACAAACCGAATTTGAAGTCGATAGCATCAAAAACAGTACAAAAGTATATAGTGCCTCAAACCGAAAAAGATTTGGTAGTTCAACTCAGACATCTATAACACATAGTATGTATCTAAACCTAATTTGGGGATGATATCTGCATATTTGGACTTTATGAAAAAACAATAAATTTGTTTGCCCATAGTGCAATGTGCGCTTTGTGGCCGATTTTCGGTTCTTTTTAATGGATATTCAGTTCTTTTTTAATTATTTTTTGTTTCGGTTATTCTGAGATCATTTTCCGATTCTTCCTGAACTGTTTTGTGATTTTTTTTTGGAATCAAGTTTCGGTTCTTGTAAGAACCGGACCGGTGAGTTCTCTAAAGGACCCGGTTGCGGTTCCACGGTTCTGTGCATCACTAGTACTATATAAATAGAATATTATACGGGTAGTAATAAAAAGTAGGTGGGGAGGTGTGTGATAAACTTTGATTTGTATACAATTTAATAACAATACCTGCCACTTTAATAACTTTAACTAACTGTACATCTTTTCCTATTTTCAGGTAAGTGACGTCCAACTCTTTATCTACTGCAGAGGCATAACCCGCTTTCGGTAAACTATCTTAAATGTGTTTTTGACTAAAGACTATACATATCTACATATTCGTAGACGCTGCTATGCTGTGTAAATATGTATGTATACATATATGTAAATACGTATACATTTGTATGTAAATATACATATCAGTCATAATGTACTTTCCCTGCCAAGCGCAAACAACCGTAAACAAAAGCAACAGAACCAAAAGCACCAATTACTACATAGTAAGTACTACAGTAACCAAATGTTATTTCTGTGGCATACTCGGTAGTTTATTGTGACAGTGGTGGCCACTGAATGATCTAACCATTCGAAGTAACACAACCAGTGTTGCCACACATGGGCTTTTCCAACCAAAACTGGTAGGTTTTTTTCCAGTTAGTAGGTTGCTAGGCTTGATTGGATTTTGGTAGGTTTCGGGACAATGATTAATAGTTTTTCGATCAAAATAGAAAATATGCATCTCCAAATATTTTAGCAACCTTTTTTACATGAATATTTTTTACTGGTGAGTTCGTATATCGGCGGCCGCAAACATGTAAATATACCTGATTCCTAAGTACAAACGTAAACCCTTATTATTGCCAATATGCAATACGAACATCCATATATCGTCACCTAAAGGTGAAAAGGTGCCAAGCCCATTTTTTTAAATTATTCAGGAGAGGCGAAAAATCGATGTAGTTTCGTATTACCTATCTTTCTGCATCAAAAACTAAGCTGTGAAAGAAATGGACTAGGCACCTTTACACCTTTTGGCAGCGATATAATTTATGGCGTACTTGGACCAAGATTACAGAAATGTCTGGCAATGGGCTCGTACCCACCATATTCCAGGCGGAGGTTTCCAAATTGCTGCTCACTGGCGAAAGTCAAAGGGATAAGACAATCAAAGAGATTCATAACTCTTTCCTGGAGGAACTCCGAAAGACACCTTGAACTTAGAACTCTTACTGGCAACCTGACCTGACCTGACTAAATGGGTCTTTCTGTAGAGACGAACTGTAGATTTTGTGGGCTGGTGGCCAGGGTATATTCTATGTGCCTGTCTACGAAGCACGAATCGTAGATTAATACTCCTTGGAGAACGATTTGCTTCTCCATCTAAAATTTGGAACATGGCATCATTCAAAGTGCTGAGCACTAGACACGAATTAAGACGCTTGGGTGTTCTGACGACAAGAAACGGGAGGGGGGGGTGAAAAAAATTTGCGAAAAAAGACATCATTCCGGAAAAACGCTATGGGGAATTCGTATACTGTTACAGTCGCAAACATAGTTGACCACGAAAATAAGTTTATGCGTCTTTCTTCGCCTTCAAAGAGGTTAACGCGACTTTCTTGCCATCACCTATATATGTTAAGAGTCTTTCTTCGCCGAAATTTTTTTCACGCGTCTTTATTCGTATCTAGTGACGATAAGTCTGTTCAGTGAAATGAATCGTTACACGTACTTAATTTGTTTTTATTTTACTAGCCGTGTTATAGTTTTACTAAATGTTATGTTAGCTATGTTTTTGATAAATTTGACAATGAAAAAAAATACTAAAACTCAAAAAAAAAAATTTGGTAGGTTTTGATTGGTTATGAAAGGAAATTTTGGTAGGAAAAAAAATGTGTCTGTGGCAACGCTGAACACAACACTAGTCACGATTCCAACGGCAACATTCGCTTCGTCTACCAAGACTCCGCCAAGTGCAAACCAGCTTGAGACTGTGGAGCCATATGTGTTGTCATAATTGTTGTTGTTTAGAGCGAGAGCTCGAATGTAGACCGGCTGAAGTTACAGTAGCCGCAATTTATTTGTTTATTTTTGTCTTTTGTTTTTGTTTCCTCTTAAGCTAGCTCGTCTTTATCGGCGTCCGTTTTCTGCAAGCTTCCCTTCGCTTGTACGCACCACAATTTTCCGGTTTATGGATATTGCAGACGACAAAATACCTGCAACAATAATTTTACCAGCCATGAGGCAACAATGAATGGAAGAGTGTAGCAAACCCACATTAGCCACGGATGGTGACCGTCGCTGCGTTTACATATCGGTGGCGATTGCGTAGTACGGCGGTATGTTTACGCTGTGCCATTCCAACCAATTGTCGGCTTGTTTACTGAACGCAGAAACGCCGAAAACACAAGCAACAGCAACAACAACATAAGTAAATTGACGAGACGCCGGCTGGCCAGCAGACTATTCGACGACTTGACATCCCACGCCGGGCTCAACCCGGCTGTGTAGCGGGGATTGGTTCAGTCGATCGGTCGATTAACCTGCTCGAGGAGACTTTATGGTAGCACTTGAGACCGTAATTACGACAAAGCGGCTTTAAAGCCAGTCAGTGTAGAGATTCGAGTGGAGCGTGGGAAGGGCCGCAGCAAAGCGATGCTCATTCTCTTGGCCATATACAATTAGTACTCGAGATTAGAGCATATTTGCTATGTACATACATATGTAAATAAGTTTGTGGTTTGGGGACTTGCTGTCTTTAATTTAATCTGAAAACTTATTTGGGCGATTCACGACAATTGTAAACGAATACTTAGGCAGCAAAAGTAAACAGTATTGGATTTCGCACTCTGACCACTTGCCTTGCAATTTTACTCCAACTACAGTGGTCGCCCAGTATAACGAACTTTCTGAACGAATTATTGCGAACGCTAATTCCAGTATTTTTTTTTTAAGTTCGCGTCCTTCGTTAAGCCATCGATAGTTTAATTGTTGTTCATCTGCATTCAATTGCTTGTTTTAAGATCGAGTTAACATTGACTTTGGACAAATTGGCAGCCGCGAACTAAAACACTTTCCCTAAAAATTAAAATAAATGTTCGAATTTCGTAGTCTTTGAAATAAATAGAATACTTCTTTAAAAGTTATATGCATTTAATGTAATACCACTATTATAAGTACAGAAAAA